ATATTTGACAGTGATTGGCCAATTCTTACAACTACAATTACTTACACTATGCAACTTGTAGAATAGGCAATTATAAAATTTTAAAGGAAAAAAATTGATAAATTGAAAGAAAGATTATTAAATCATAGTGTAAGTAGGATTTACACACAGCTGATGATTTATGTGTCATTGAAACATTACTACTAAATCACGGAGTGAAAAGGAGACCAAACTCAAGTGACTGGTCACGAAAAAGTTGGGCTCGATTTCTGGCTTTAGAAAAGCGCTGTACGAAAGAACAAATTCAAGCGCTTCTGTCGGAGAAAATTGTCAATTTAGAGGATTTAATAAATATTTTTCTTCCCATTTTTCTGTAATTCTGTAAATTCTGTATATTTGTGTATGCCGAGAACAAAAAATTTTGAAATTGATATATTTTTTATCACTTCTTAGTGTAACATGGCGTCTTAAGCTGTCAAGTCGTGACAACATTTGCTTGTACAAAAGTTTTGCAACCTGTACTTACGAAATAGTAATCCACAAACATGTAGTTTGCATGAACAAATAACGTCGAGTCCTTAGAATTAGACTTACTTTATCGCGACAAATTTTGTTATATGAAAATTGACACGAATGTGCGATTGTATATCATAGGTTGCGTGAGTATCATTGGTGTGATACTATTGTATATAAAGGCATGTCAATGCGCTTGAAAAATAGCGACCTCTGGTAACATTGTCAGAGTTCGAGCTTCGCTTTAGGGTAAAAAATGTATATCAATTTCAAAATTTTTTGTCGTTCTCGGCATAAACTCCACGTCACAAACACGTATTAATGCGTACTTTAATCCTGGAAAAGAATTTTCGAATCTGTGAAAGAGTGCCACTCTTCATGTGCCACTGGCTTTAAAGTTTTTCCATTGAATCAAATAATTAGTAGAATCTTATTGGTTTAACGTTTTATATTACGTTTCTTTTATACAGTTTATATCATTTTGTCTGTGATGTGCTCAAAATCAGTACTTAAGTAATGTAACATTCCATGATCTGCCTTAGTGAGTTGGAAATTCACAAAGAAGAAGAAAAAAGAAGTAACGTAACATAATGCGACGGATGTTCTAGTGCGGAGGATTTTTTTTCACAAAAAAAAACATATAAAATGATTAATCAAATCTTTGATAGCTTTTTCTATACTCGTATATAATCGATATCTTTTTATAAAAGCGGAGGAGATATTTTATTTTTAAACATCTCTTCGCTTATCTCTTAACGAAGATACGTTTAAAAAATTGAAGTCTTCGGTAAAAGATCGAAGTGGTTAGGACAGCTCATTTTTAGGCAAACAGTAAGTTTAGAATTTTTGCGAAGAGTAAACTGTCCGAGGTACACTGCAGTGCATTAATTCGCTGGGTCATAGTAGCGGCTTATCGACTTATTTTTTTTTACTCAAATACTGTCAACTTTACAGAAAAACTGCAAGAGACAAAAATTATTTATTTTCTTCTCATAGAAGTCTAAGAATTTCTTCAGAATTTTTTATCAACTTTTTAGTACTGCATTTTCTTATTTTCGATAAGTCGGCCGCTACTATGACCCAGCGAATTAATGCACTGCAATGTACAGTCAGGAAGTCGTAGCGTTAGTGAGAGTAGTCGATTTAGCGAGAGAAGTAAGTTGTGCGAGCGAAAGATATAAAATTGCATAACGTCACGAATATCTCTTTGCGCGTAAAGAACGATGAACGAAATCTTATATAAAAGATTAACTGTAATTCGTGTGGTTACAAATGTATTAGAATTTGGACAAGGACACGTGTTCACAAGTTTATCGCAGATTCTGACGAGACTTTTCCATGTCTCCTTGACTCGATTAATGCAGGTACAGATGTAGGAGCAAAGCTCATCAATAATGAGTCATCATAACAGTTACTTAGAAAATTAGGATATCATTGACACTTTTATATCGTGGAACAATATCATATCCATATCAAACAAATTAATGGCGAAATAATACCATGACAACACTTTCCTTGCAAAAATTTAATATTGAAAAGTAGTGATTACTTACATTCGGTTATTAAAAGCTTATTAAAAGCGACGCATTAATATTTTTAATACTCAGAATAAACAATTGGTCACTTTTTTTCAGTATCAAATTGATCAATATTAAATTTTGGATTATTGTAAGGAAAAATATATTTAATTAAAAAAAATTTTTTATATTTATCAAGTCGGACTTTTGAGAAATGACACTCTTGAGAAATTCTCATATAGAATTGTTCTATTATATAATAATTCATTATCTATCATATAATTATATATCATAGAATTATATATCATATAATTATATGATGGACAAAACAATAAGGAGTGTTGTATATAACGAAGTTTTAATTTTAATCTTTAATTAATGAAAATTTCAATTTTAATGCGGTTTATAAAATAAAAGAACTTGTAAACTTATGTGTGTTACATGATATATGTGTGTTTTATAAAAGGAATAATTGTATAATTCAATACAGAAACGGCTTAAATAATGTAAAATTAAAACAAATCAAACGAAGAGAGCTATAAACCACTAGATCTTTAATGCTAAAATTATTATAAATAATAAAGTATATTTTCATACTACAAACGTTTCGATCCTGATCAGATAATTTTCAATATTACTACTCAATGCAGCTTTAAAAATTCATAGTTACATAATGTAAAAAGTAATTGAAATAATTACATTAATCGATGAAAATAATTCAAAATATACTAGTTTTTATATCTGAATTATTCCATAGTTATTTCTTGAATGTTGATAAATTTGTGTTGCTAAGTTTAACATTTTGACTGCTACACAAATTTTTATAATCGGTTCTCTCTGGCATACTGTTATTTCTATAAAATAAATATAAATTAAAATTTTATACTTTTAGAAAAATATTTATGAAATATATGCATTTAAATTGATACAAGTGGCGCCTTGAACCTATATAAGATATGTATTTAATCGGATACGAATGACAGTTAGTGTTAGATAAAATATTGGACATTAATCAACAAATTGCTTTACGGCAATTAATAAACCATTTTGCTTCTGATCTTTTGCTATCTATGGCAGTTGTCATACATCTTTTTTATATGTTTTTTTCATAATGATGTTTTCGTAATTATGTCACTCTTAAAATATCGAGCATTCTCTTCTGAAACCATTTATATAAAAACGTAGATATTACCCAAGATTTCACTTTTCTTCTCAATCTTTCACTTTTATTTACCTGTAAGAATATCATTTGCTGATCGAAGAATAACGCATGAAAAGAGCTGATTATCCGATGTTATCGATATTTCCGCTCTTTCCGATCGTTTATGTATATTTGAGTAGCTAATTAATATATTCATTTATTTATATGCGTATTATAACATGCAATAACAAATAGAATAATAGCATACATTGGATTCGCAAAATTACTTATGACAAAATTGCAATGTATAATGGAAATGTAAAGCTTCGTGTATTTCCGATGGAATCATGTAAATGATTATTATAAATAGATGCAGCTTGAAAAGCATGATTATATGATATCAAAGTTTAGTGAAATTTACATAGTTTTAAAAGTTATCAATATGTTGTCAAATATATATTTTTATGTTAACAACGATTTCTACCAATTTTTGATTTTGATCAGCGATTATTAAATAAAATTATATGAGTTACCTATTAATTTACAATTTTATTAAAATTTTCACAAATTTAAAATAATAATAATAATAGTAATTGATAATAACTACAAAAATATTTAAGTCTAGATTATTAGCAAAGAAATTTCAAGCACAATAATTATTTCCTCTTTAAATAATAATGAATTTTAGGCATGTTATTATTGTTTTAAACTTTTGGTAAATGTAAAATTAATTTAGATACGATAGATAACTCCAGTTGCCGACGAATGTTACTTTATCGATTCAAAGAGGCAAAGAGCTCTGGATTTTAACACTAGTTAGCGTCTTTTTCCAGCATCGTTCACACAATGTATCTATAATCTTTAAAAATAAAATATTTTTGTAAAATTTTTCAAGAAGATTAGAACAATTTAATTATAAAGAATTGATTATAAAAAAATATTATAAAGAACGTACTTTTATTGAAATAAGATATTATATTTTTTTAGGAAATAGATTGCTGTGCCATCTTAAGGAATATACTCTAAACTGATCATCACCTATATATCGACATAGCAACTTTTTTAATTTTTAAATCGATCGATTTATGAATCAAAGGTACACAAAGGAAGAAAACCTGATACATGCAGGAAAAAGAGAAAGAAAAAGAAAGTATTAATATCAGATTAATGAATGATATGTTTATTTAAATAATATTTTATTAATAAATATATTTGAGATAATATAAGTTTAACAATAAAAATAAGAAATTAACAAATAACCGCTTTCAATTACTTTACATCAATCTTTTTCCTATTTGCATACTATTTGTATGAGAAATTAATAAGAAATTAGACACAATTTTACATTACAGCGATTAAATTTTGCATGAAATCTGCGTCTCATTTAATTTATTGCACGCTGTATTCTGCAGCTTTACAGATTTAAATATTTTAGTTTGCGTATATGTATAAACGAAGTTAATTGTTATGTTAGCAATTGTATCGCCTCAGCAAATCAACGAGAAACTGAGTATCGGAATTGAAGGATCGCAACTGAACGGCAGTGTCAACGAGGTCGCCTAAAGTTCAAAGGCCATGGCTAATTGATAAGAACGCTTTCAAGAACATTCGTAATTCGCTTCGGACGGAATGGCGACATTTCGTTTAACGTCGTCATTTTCGACCTAGCAGACAGTCGCCTCGTAGATTTATAACACGTATTATCTCGTTCTCGTGCGTGCCATTTCATTCAACGATTACGCGAGATTTCTAGCTTGCTCCAACCAGCCCATCGTCTTCTCCGATCCGATTGGCCTGCGCGTTAACAAAATGTTATTTTAGATCCTCGCGCTAGTTGCATCTTTGCCTTCGAGTAGAGACAGACACTCGTTGCGAGTTCCATCAGATTGTCATTCTGCTCTGTGATCTTAATGAGCCTCTACATTCGTTAATCCAGAGAGAATTTTTCACCAAACTAACTAATCCTGGAAGTAGGACATTAAAATACTGCTAAAATCGACGGCTGTACACGGAAAGAACAGCTCAAGTATTTAAAAATTTGATATTTGTAATCACGATACTATGCATTGTACTTACGAGGTTTAATTAAAGACACACTTTGTTTTATTTTAATTTATTTACATACCATGAATTGCGTTTTGGCTCTTACAGCTCTATCTCTAGTGGTTATTTTAATGTTTTATTGTTATTTTATATTTGAAAGTCCTTATATTTTAACATAATTAATGAATTACAAATGGGCCTTAAGAAACTGACGCTATAAAAATTGCGCGTTTATTTCGCGTTATTTGATCTAAAACAATCTTCTATAAATAATATTTTTTTCTATTATAGATATGTTGATGACATAATTATGGCTATCCCTTCATCTCAAGCCAACCTTGTATTACAAAAATTTAATTCTTATCATCCTAAAATACTTGTATAATTTATACATGTGAGATTGGCAATAAAACTATCAATTTTTTAGATACTATTATTGAAAACAATGTCATCAAGTTCGACATATATCACAAATCATCTTTCTTTGGAGATCTTAATTACCAGTCTCAACACTCAATATCTCAAAAAAAAAAAGGAACTGTTATAGGGATGGTTGATAGAGTTTTTTTAATTTCACATCCGGATTTCCATTAAAAGAATCTGGAACAGGTGGTAAGAATTTTATTAGATAACGATCATCCACTAAATTTCATTTTTTATATAATACGAGAAAGAATTAAAGTTTTAATAAATAAAAGAACTCTCAATTAAATCACCAATAAGAATAATAATTTCTCAAATAAGAACATTTTAAAGAAAAAACGAACTGGTTTAAACACAATTCCATATGTATAATACAATCTATTTCCGAAAAATTTTAAAATATCATCAAAGATATCGGCACTAAACTTTCGTTTTTTTCTTAACAAACTCAATTCAATGATAAAAGCGCAAAAAGATCCTCTTCCTGCAGATTGCAAAAAGAACATTGTGTATAAAATTTGTTGTAACGTCTTATGTTGGACAAACATGTAGACAATTAAAAACGAGGATTTCCGAACACAAAAATGACATCAATAGAAATAAAACTAATCCTTCGCAAATCATAAGACACGTCGCAATCATCATTTTGATTGGAATAACGTTCAAATATTAGACACAGAACGTAACTACAATAAAAGACTAATATCAGAAATGATTAACATCAAATGACAAAAAACCGGTATTAATTTAAATAAAGACACTGAGTTACTTAGTTCTTCATATTTTTGTTATTCGACCGACCACTAGAAGCCTATAGCTCAAAATAATACATTTTCAATACGACATCATCGACTTCTACAGATTATATTTATTTAATTATCGTCGTTTTACCTTAAATTTTAATTCATGAGAAAAAGAATTTGCGTTACAATACTATGGTGTTAAAATTAATTTATATTTGACGTACTCCTGAGGTAAATCTCTACAGCACAATTCCTGTAAGTTTTTTAATATTTTTCGACTCTAATATTCATTTATTATATTTAAGGTCAATTATCGTCGACCATCCAGCTTATTAACTGATTGTGGGAAATTTGATGTCAGAGTGTAACCACAGGATGAAAATTTTTATTGATTTGTGTAATACATTCGCTGATGAAGGTTAGAAGTTAGCCGAAATGTTCGACAAATATATTATTTATAGAGGATTTTAAATCAATCGAAATAAACGCGCAATTATTAGCGCCGATTCCTAAAGGTCTATTTTTGTTAATTGTATTTTGTTAATTGTTTTAATATAAGGAGAGAGAGAGAATCTTATTTTAGTGTAAGTCTTATATTTTAATTCCTTCTAAAAGTTTAACCATTTTTGGCTTATTATATTTGAGTTTCTTACATAGTTATTTTGATGATCGATCAACGAAATTAATTTCAACAATATTATTTATATCTAAATTTTTGAATACTTTTAAGATACTACAGTAAAATTGTGCTCTTTGTGTATTTTTAAGTAAATGTTGCTTCCTATTTTTATTCTTTCGCATCATAGATGAGACGTGATATTTCGACAAACAACGCATACCATTTCGTCCGTCGAAAAAAATCAACTTATCTGATAAATCGACTACGGAAATATGAAAAGAATAATTTTGCTGAAATACCTACAAATTTTACCATATGCAGATCTAAAAATACTTTTCAATATTACATACATTTCAATATTCAGTGGACCTGCAAATAATTATATACAGAAACGCTCAAGCTGATTGTTAGAATGTTGAGAGAAACAGTTTGGAGGATTGTTCACCGTGCGCCCTACAAAATTATCTCAATAATTCAACAAAATTATATTTTCAAATCTGTCTAACTAAATTTCTTAGTCAACAAAAAACCGTTCGCGTGAAATGCTAGAAACTCGGTGCTAGAAACAGGGCGCACTCGTCAGTCCGGATCGGAACAAATTGGCCGGCTTCCGCAATCGTAATGGCCCTTTTCTCCACGCACATCTCGCATCCTCGCGACCGGCGGTCATCATTCTACGGCGTATTATCAAGCGATCGCGATATTACACGTTCCACGTGCGGCGCGTATATGATTTACAGCCCGCAGCGTAACGGTCGCAGAGTCCAAGTCGAGTCCGGTCTGCATTGGAGGCACCGAATACTAGTTTTCCTCCGCGTCTATGTTAACGGACATGCGTGCGTGCATGTAGTTGCGTGCGTGCGTGCGAGGAGGGGACCACGGAGGAAAGGACCCTGTCAGTCCCCCACCTCCCCCCCTCCCTCTCCCTCGCGGACGACGGGAAGGGGGGTGACAGGGGTTTCTGTATCGGGGGGGGACTGCGATAACGCGGGTCTGCCCCGTCTAATTATTCGTATTTACTCGTAGAGGTTGCGAAGAAGAAGCGCGGTCAGAAGCGGAGCGGAGCGGAACGGAGCGGACGTCGCGGTCGGCGCACGGCGCAGTACAGGACGACAGTCGGGAGCGAGGAAAGGATGGCTGGCCGTCTTCGGGGCACGGCCAGGATGCTCGCCGTCTGCCTGGTCTACCTTTGGACGCTCCTCGGTGAGTTACGGATTAACACGCCGGTCCCTTATACGCTCGTCCCTCCCTCCGCCTTTCCTGCCCACGCTCCCACCCTGTCCCCATGTGAGCCGCCTCCCCCTTGCACCGTACTCCTCTTGATGACTCCTCTCGGGACTTCCCCGATCTCCCCCAAAGTCATTCATTGAAAAATGCACCGTACGAGCCGGCCGGAATATGGCGGTCCATTGATATATACACTCCGTTGTTGTTCTGGTAAATTTTCGAGCAATCGGCACCACGTTCTTCCATGGGGAGATAAGATAAAAAAGTATACTGAGGAAAATTTCTACTTGAAAATAGACGGATCAGAAGGTTCTGAGTGTATAAAAAAAATTCCAGTTACCACCGTAGTTGGACGTCTGGTTATCTCGATTAGAATTCTGATTGATATGACCAAAATCTTCGGACACGTGCCGATTTTCAATCGGAATTTTTTCCAGTATAGAATCTCGTATCGCTCGTGTAATTTCAAAAGCTATACAAAAAATAGAGTGCGTCTATTTGACTGTATATTGAATACGCTTCGAACACAATTCTTTTTGAAAGAATAAGGCGCTCATAAACGTAAAAATGTATATTTACGATAAACTCTACACAAGTCGTCATATCAATAGATACGATAAGTAAAACCAACGACGATATCAGTAATCCTATGTAAAGAACTATGTAAAACTATACTTAGATATATATCTCGATAGGCAAATGTCCTAGAAATAATTTTTCGAGGAAACATTGTTACACGTTAACTAAAAAAATTTTCACTACAAAATATATTTTATACTTTTTTCCTCTTGTTTCCTACTTACTTTGTCCATGTCATTTGTTTCTTTTTCTTTGGGAGAGATTATCCCTTAACACTACGTTTTATTGAACACCCTATATACAATAATCTACATTTCTGAACACCCCGTACAATATAATCTAAATTTCTCGATGAGAGATATACGAGAGGGTATATTTTTTTTTTCTTCTTGTTTTTACAGGTTCGTACTGTCAAATGGCACCAGGTGATTATTCTCATCGTCGAATCGAGAACCGCTTACAGTTTACGTTTGAAAAGAATACGTGCAAGCCAGTAAAGATTCGTTCAATTGTTTCGCGCAGCAATCGGTCGAAGCGTTACATAGGGAAAAAAAAAAATAAATAAATAAATAAGAGAACACATAACGCCCATTCTCGCTCGTCGTGTAACAGGGACTCCGCACGGGAATTAACGGTACTCCGTTTAACATATACGCGCGTATATGCGCACACACTCACACATACGCATACACATTTACATACACATACGGTACGTATCGTGTGTCTCTTCTCGGATCGTCTCGAGAGAGAGGAGCGATTCTCGTTGTCTGGCGTTACCGTTGTCAGTCGACGCGCGACTCCCAGTCGGTGACGTCGTCGAGCATTCGGTTCATATACACATATTTCCACGTGCACGCACATACAACGTATCTACCTCAAAAGACCACGATGAATTTTCGCGCGATAACGAGTAATTGCTGGAAATTATGCGTCATACTTGCAGCCGTGGCTGGTGGCACCAAGGGCTGGCAAGTAGGAAACGGTCACAAATACAAGCTGACGAATACGCTGATCTTTAGAGAGACCGAATCATCGAAATCCACGGGTGACGTCGGTTTCAGGGTGACAGGCGAGCTGGACATCACTGCCCTATGGCAGGATTTTAACGACCCTAATATCTTTTTACTTAAATTCGAGGTATGATACATTTCGTCATTATTTCGTTATTTTCAAATATTGCGAATCTCATCAATGATATTACTATTATCACCGATATGTTACATAAATTAAAATAGAAAATGTTACATAAATTGAATCATAATTTAAGTCTTTCTTTGTTTTATTTCAATTTTGATTTTGAAGACGGATAACAAATTAATCAATACTTTTCTTTACTCTACTCTACAAAATTTATTTTAATTATATAAATGATAAAAAAAAATACAAATATTAATCTTTTAGAAGAGTAAGTGTAATATAACTTTATTAAATCGTTGTGAAATGCATTAATGTTATAATGCATCGAACAACTTTGTTAAAAAATTTATCTTTCAATTATTGAATTTCTGTAATTTTATGCAAATTTATTTAATGAGTTACTTATGTATTTATATACCTTTTAGACACCTGAAGTGGAAAATTACTTTAAAACAATGTAAACGTAAAAAAAACTAATGTATTTTATTAAAATTATATAATTTAATCATATACATAAATTTATTTTCAAAATTTTATTAATTGTAAAACACTACTCAAATTTTATCAAAATATATTTTATTACATTTATTTTAAACAACTCCATATGTTAATAAATAACGAAATTTTTCAATACGATAATAATATAGTATCGTATCAATTCTTTTAAGTTACTTATATCAAAGATACACAGGAATTATTTTAAATAATAGTTAATTATATTACATCAATATATATAAACATACTTTTTCTTTGTTCTGCACGTGTTATAATTGGAATTTCATAATCAATACAGGAATTCAAAACCAGATAAGCGATTGATTCGGCATACGTATTCATTGTTAAGAAACAAAACATCTATATAACTTCCTTTCTAAAATTTTAATGCCGTAAAAAGCACGCTCATTGATACTGAGAAAGGTCGTGTCGAGTTACATTGATTACATTGAATGTCGATAATTTCATAACCGAGAGATAAAATGTTTCTTCGATTTACAAAATCTTCAAGATGAAAGTCTTGAAAATAATTTATAATATTAAGTATAGTAT